CCTTCATTGACAGTCTACGCCGAAGTTATCGTGAACAATATAATTTTGCTCACGCATCGAAAGCAGCGCTTTTTTCGTAAAGCATTTGCACGTTTTATATAGAACTAGCAAAAAAGACGCTACCGATCGGTTGAAATCCATAAGCCGTAACCTTAACAAAAATCTAACACCGCACCGCACGATTAACCCCAGACCTGAAAAGGTATGGAGAGGATGGAATTTGGGGATGCTGGCATCTCCTTTGCTACCACTCTCACGTCACCACCGTGAGATTTTAGCGAAGATTTGATATTCTACCTTTTTCAATCCTAATTCTTTAATTTATATTTTTTCTTTTCTTTAAATTTAAATCCCAACTCTACCAATGTCCGAGAGAAAAAGGTATCCTGCTTACAGTACATAAGAGACAATCATCAACAGATTTCAAGAAAAGAGGGAAGCAAGATAACAGGAAATAAGTGAAAAAAGAATCATGTTACACCGTGCGGAAAGCTTACTTTCATCTAGTATAGTATCCACAAGTAACCGTTTGACTTCCGCGACTGAAACACGCAACTGCTGCGAGAGATACTGCAGCCTGACTCTCGTATACGGTTTAATCAACCGCAGTAACACCTGCAAAACATCCTCTATTTACAGTAGAACTCAGAAAAGCTGCCACCTACTAACCTGAGTTCTAATATTAGTCAAGAGTTCCTCTATATGTTCACGTATGAAGGGGTCCTGCATGATGCTCTCGCGATTGTCTTCCAGTATTCGTTGGAATTCATCGATATCGTTCTCTTGGTACGCAGACACCATAGCCGTCATAGCGACGATTTCTTGTTCATTCTTGGAAAGAATAACCCGATAAAAAAGGGAAAAATGCTCTCAAAAGAAAGTCAGTACATCTTCCATTTTTCCACTATTACATATAGCTACCGATCGATGTGAATGTTTTTAAAACGTACTTTGAAAGGTTTGGCCTCTTGGCTATCGAACGGATTTATGTCGGATTTTATAAGCATGTTCGCCAGCACCAGATATTTCAAGCAAGTAATTCGCCGCGGTGATCCACTCTCGTCATAATTTTTGAACGCTTCGAAGAAATCCGTATGGGCACGGTCGAACTGTCCCTCTCGCAGATGCATTTTACCACCACATTCTGAAAAAATACAGCATACAGATCGTATTTAATCAAAACCTTCTAAGAACCGAAAACTAGAAAGTCGAAACAATATCGCGAAATCCCAACATTGAAATTATCAAAAATGAAGCGGTTCGCCAAAATGAGACCCGAATAGAAAAAAAATGATCTCTACATTAACTATTCTTGGCAAGAAGACCACGTTTATAGAACTTGCCTCGAATGACACCAAGAATAAGTGGATGAGGGATAGCAGACTTAGACTGAATAGCCTGTTGTGCTTGTTCATACAACTTTTTTAAAGCCTAAACATACGAAAACATTAGCAGGAAGCTCATTCTTTGGAAAATTGAAATAAAAGACTCCACCTTGTTGTTCTTTTGTTCTGTATACATCTGGATTTCTAACGCATAGATTTCCAGTAACTGTGTTCCCTTTTTCTGGTCTTCTTCGCCTAACTCTGTCTGAACAAAAAACGTCAAGGTGACCGAAGAGGGGTGTGGTACAGATTTATAG